AGAGTCGCACCGTGCCTTGAGAGAGAGAGGCTAGATGGGAAGAGCTGATTCTCGCCTCAGTGCTCAGCAGCCTTGCCCGCTCGAAAGGCTTGTCAGTCCTTCCTTCGGGATGGGCAACTCTTCGGATGGCCATCATTTCGCCGTAAGGGAAGCTATTATCTCGCGTTCGGAGTAGTCAAAGTGACGGAGTATCGGTGACCGTTAACAGGTAATGGGTGTCCTGAAAGATGTTGCAGGATGGTTTACACAGTCTCAAAGTGGATTCTGGCCACAGGTGCCAGCTCACGACAGACCCCCATGAGCGAGTCAGCCTTGAAGATATTCATAAATGTAGTATAATTGGAGAAAGTTGAGTTTCGAAGATCCCCTACACCAGTAGTTCCCAAACTTTTCCTAGTCGCTGCGCCCTTTTTCAATTAATATTTTTCCATGGCGCCCTATCCTTAGTATGGCTATTCGTAAGTAAGAGATAAAAATAAATAAAACTCGCGTATCTTCATTAGTCTTTTTACTTTATTAACATTAAATTAATATTTAATAATTAATGTGATCTATGAGCCTGCAAATCACTGCACATTTTCTCAAATCGTGGAATTAAACTGGACACGGCCAACCTCATTTCCTTTTCCGCGTTGATTTTTGCTCTATACTTGCTTTTGATTACAGCGACCGCCGAAAACCCAGCTTCGCACAAATACGACGTCGAAAATGGAAGTAGAATCCGCTGAGCGATCATATGGCGCAATCGAGAAGACACAGCGTTTTCTCTCACGTTTTTGTTTAGTTAGGCCAAATTTCTGGGTTAAATTAATTATGAAGCTTTTACAATGTTTCGCGGCGCCCCTGTAAAAAGGTCGCGGCGCACAGTTTAGGAATCACTGCTTTAGAGAGTAGACACTTGTGGTCATGACTTTTGTTGAGTTCCATTAATTTATGTTTGTGAACCTTCATTATCAGTTCTTGAATTACTTAATTGAACTAAAGTGACAAAAGTTCTTAGATAATGCTTCTTAGATTTACATGAAAAGGGAATAAAAAATCATTTAATTTTCTTTATATTCTGCTCGATTTTGTGTCGTGGATAAACTGAATGCTTGAAGTTGTTGTAAAAATGAGATCTAGATCTCATAAGCTTAGCTTTCATCTTACATACAACGGGCATCATCATTCTTACATCTGATTTCATATGTGGTGGATCCCTACATGCCTTATAAATTTGCTGATTTGGTTGGTTTAGGAATTTTTTACCTGGGCTCATCTGCGTGTGCGAGTATGTGTACGTAGATTTAGTATAATTTGAATAGAATGTGACCTCTATTCTTAGTTAACTAACTCGAATAAACCATTTTCATAATTCATTCTCATAATCTAATTCCAGACAAACGGCTGATTAAGTCGGAGAGTCTTTGAGTTAGTGTGCGTGTGTGTGTCCATATTAACTAAAAAGTATATACGGTAGTTCAGTAATTAAAATCATGGCCAACAAAAGTATAGTTGAGTTGCACTCTTTATCCAGATGGCCAAACATTCTCTATCCTTAAGTATATAAATTAAATGCAAGTCAGCTCTTGTAGATAGGATGACCAAGATATTGTGACCTCTGTTTTGCTCGCAGTTTCCATTCGCTGACCTCGTTTTCGCAACATGGTCGTGTTGCTAGCGGTACCTAGTTGAATGCGCAACATCAATGAATGCTTGTCAAAGAAATCAACTGTTCAGCAGCCTGTTGATCTAAGGATCCACTTTGCTTGTTTCTTTGAAGAGTTGTAGCGTGGTGTTAAGAATGGCAAATATCAGTGGCGATGCCGACTGCAATGCCAGCAAAAAGTCTAAGCATTTCCCAAGTTTACGGTCTGATGCTGGAAATTATCGTGAATGGACTCCAGGTGAGGTGCGTTCAACTGAGTCGTCTTGACAATACGATCAAGTTGGGAAAACGGGGTCAAACTACTTCTCTATTATGGGATGTATTCACGCTATTTTGTTTAAGGTGATAAAGGAAGTGATCGTTTAATTTTTCCCATAATTATATGAATAGACCTTATATTTCCATTAAAATTCACTAAGCCTTGCTTCCCAAAAGGTATTCTCATTCAGGGTGGACTCCAGTTTCGATCTGGCCTAGGTCGCTTAGGATGTGAATTTTAATGAAGGTCAGTCATTTTCCCATATCACATTCTTTGATTGGATTGCTGGTGAATCAGCGTTATATTTGATATATTAATCGACTATGTTACTTATAAGTAGTACTTATAAACATAAAATGATTAATGTAATACTTATAAACGAAAAATAAGTAATGCAATCGATTGTTATATTAAATTAAACTTTGCTTCATCGACAACTCCACCAAAGAATGTGATATGGCAAATGCATGGCCTTCCTTGAAAATTCATATCTACCCTGTGACCCAAGGACACTCGTGACAATGTGGAGTAGAAGTTTACGTGTTGTGATTATACACTACACTGTCATCATTCGAGTCCCGCTAGGGGTGTTGATAAGACCTAGGCGATTTTTGGTAAAGCAAAGCGTGAAATTCAATGGAAGCTGTAGGAAAATTCAACTACCAGTCCTTCATCACCTTAAACGAAATAGGATGAATACATCTCATGACGGATTTACCGGTAATCAGTTTATATTATTTGAGGACTGCGTCAACCAGAATGTTTCAGAGTAGTCAAACGACAGCCAGCTAAGAGGGATCTGCTATATCCTTCTTGTAGAATTAACAATCACTTGTTTTCATCACCCAGTTCTCTTCTGCTCAACACTTTTATACCAAATGAGTCCTCGAAACTCAGCTTTCCTTCTCTTATACTAAAATTATTGTTCGTAGATATGAAGACCAAGATGGTGTTGCCTTCTCTTTGGTGACATTCTTCTTTAGCTTTCTAGTGTAGGTTCGACCTCTTTTTCGCAACTTGGTCGGAGCGTCACGGAGACCTTGTGGAGCGTACTCAGTCCTGAGTCCTTTTCCATAGTATTCGTGATTTCCAGCTTCGGAGCATCCACTTGGTACATTCTCAAAAGTTTCGCTGGCGTCGTCAGTGAGAGATGTCATCATCAGTACAGAGTTACAACTTATCAAATTGACAAGTGAAGGCAGTTCCCTTGACCAATTTTCTGTTAAACCAACACTGAAGTTATCATTTTGGGACAAAAATAATTGTCTCATCCTATTTAACTATTCAGACACGTTATTTCCATACACAATCCCCTTGTTCCCAATTAGCATTGACAACAAAATTCCAACTTTGGCGTATGCGACTTCAACTTAACATCCCCGTTCACCTTAGCACGAAAATCCCAAAATGTAACCTATTACACCTTTTGATTTCATTGTTCATTTACTAGTAATTTTTTGTCAGATTATTGAGTGAAGAAGATTTCCCAAACTATCCTATCCAGGCGGCTAAATAGCAAAATAGGCATTTCTTTATTTAACTAGCATTTTTTATGTCCGTAATGCTTCTTCCATTAACCTTTTTTGCAAATTTCGCCATGAATTCATTCATCAGGGGACTCTCTGGAGTTATTCTGATCCAATTTTGTTAATCTTGTAAGTAGATTTTCGAAACTTTGCTTCGTCAACAAACCCACCACAGATTTGTGGTATGGGAAAGCCTAGGCTCCTCGGAAATTCACTTCCGCCCTGTGAGCTACGGTTTTTCATGGCAGCCTGACGTAGTGGTTAAGGTGTTGAGGCTAAACGCTGCACTTTTAAAACCCGGGTTCGAGTCCTGCTGGGAATGATGATGAGAACAACTCAGGTGAGGTTGGAATTGCAGTCGAGTCCGGATGGGAACACTTTTTGGGGAGCAAGGCTATGTGAAATTCAATCAAACACGAGGTCAACTCGTATGAATATGGGAAAATTCATCTGCCAGTCTTTCATTACCTTAAACGAAATAGAGTGAATACAGATCCTACAACGTTGCTAGAAAAAGCTGAACCACAACACTCTACCTTGCGTGCTCCAAGGTCTGAGAAAAGGACATTTTTTCCAATCACACAATTCGTGGAGTTCATATTTTTTCCCTTTCACTATTTATTGTACCCTAAAACACTGCCCGACCTGTAGCCTTGTTGCTTACAGCGGGTCTTCTCACTCTTGGCCATACAAAGACACAGTTGTGCTGGTATTTTGCCGCTGAGTGCTCGGATTGGCAATCATGGACTTCAATCCTGCACATTTCGAAGTGGTAAAAATAGGATTCCGTCCGCGCCTGCTCCAGACACTGTCCCTGCAGAAGATACCGGAGGGTTCAGCAACTCTCCTCGGCTCTCCAAAACTGTACCAAATGTTCGAATTATGCCCCGGCATTCGGATGTCGTATTGCCATCTTGCCTGCTTCGGACATGCACACCCTCCAGCCGGGCAGATCATCACATCGGCTGGAAGACAGACAAAGTGCCAAGATGGGGGCAGACCAGATGTGCTCTGAAGAATTCCTGAGACTGGAGAAGAATGTGTATGCCTGAAGCGCAAAATGTGCACTCTGTTGCCATGACCGATAGATGACCGCGCGGGAATCCATCCAGGCAATCTAGCCGGGCTGGCTGCAATGAAATGTTGGCATGCACACAAAAGAGGCTCTTGAGGCCAGTCGAGTCGGCGAAAAACGCGACTATTCGAGGCAGCGGAAACACCTCAGGTTTGTGATATGTGATATCCGATTTTTTTGCCAGCTCCAGTCTACACCCTACCCGAAGCAATCCGAAACCGTGTGAAAAGATCTACCGTGAAGTGGTGTGCAATGACTCGGAAAGCTTGAGAGAACAGATAGTGACAAACAAAGAGCAGAGAACTAGAGACAACGATTTTCTTGAGATCCTCTTATTCAAAGCCGTTTCTCAGTGTTTACCTGAGATCTTTTGCAAATAGACCCCACTCTCGATGACTCGTTTTCGACCCTACCGCTACCGATTCTGCCTAGAGCCATTTCGAAGTTGGACCATCCACCCAGGCCCAGCCAGACGACAGCTTCGGGCGGGCGACTGGGAAAACTCGGCCCATTGATCTCACAAAAGAGCACTCGGTACCAAGTCCAGAGTTGGCAGGTCGGGAAGGAGGCGTCTCGGGATCACGCAACCGACGCCGATAGACAGAAGTTGGAGAGACTAGCCGTTCTGACCTGCTGATGCCATACAGCATTTGTTTAGCCGCAAGCGCCTTGTCTTAGAACGCCATCGAGGCGATTTCGCCTCCTGTCAATCGCAGAGACAGGAGACTGAATAAGCCACATGGAAGACGTAATGAAAGGGCACGGATGAAGCACATGAGATCCTATCCCAAGCTGGAACCCTAAAAGTTGTACAACCAAAACTCAACTGCGTCTATGATTGAGTGAAGGTTGTCCGCGAATCCGAGTCCAGCAACACAGAGAGAGAGAGAGAGATAAATAGTGAGGGTATAAAGAGCCAAATCGATATCATGCATGATGTAACTTAGAGACCATAGTAGCAAAAAAAGGATGGATACAAGATATGTCTTTTCTCGTATGCTCCATCCGTGCCTGCTGGTTTGAAGATAAGCTTAATTTAAGCTCGATCCGACCAGAGACGACGGCGGGTTTCTCTTGACCAGCTGTCGACTGACTGTACTGGAACATTCTGGGGCATCCATTCTTCAATCATGTGTCAGTCAGGATGACCGGGCGCAAGTATACTATGAATCCATGGGTCAACTAGCTCTGAGGTTGCCCATTGCCAAATAGGCGAGGTTCAATCAGGGTTTATTGCAATTCATGAAATATATTCAGTCAATTTCGTTTGGGCGAGGAAGGACTAGTAGTTGACTCTTTCCACAATCACATGAGTAGGCCTTACTTTTCACGGAGCCTTGCCTTCCAAAAAGGTACTCCCATCCAGGCCCAAATGGACTGCAGTTTCGAACTCGCCTAAGCTGGTCTCATCAGCACCCACACCGAGACTCAGACTCAGGCAAGGGTGGTGTAGAGTATAATCTCGACACGTTCGCCACTGCGCCACACTGCCATGAATGCCCTTAAGCCACAGAGTATATGTGAATTTTAAGAAAGGCCAGGCATTTTTCCGTATCACATTCTGTTGTGGGATTATCGATGAAGCAAACTTATATTTGTCCTAGCAATCAATTGTACTACTTATTTTTCGTTTATAAGTAGGTCTTTCAAGCTACTCGTAGATCAAATATATGCTTTGTATTCAGAAAATTGTATTAAGGTGAGAAAAGGCTGATTTTCAAAAAATTCCTTAAAAATTTAGTGTTACTCAAATCTCTCGTTTGCAGGTAAAACTGATCGGAATAAAT